ATAAGACATCCACACCTTATCATCCCCAAAGTAATGGGCAAGCTGAAAATGCAAATAGAGAAATCAAGAAGGTGTTGGAACGAATAGTTAAACCATCTAGGAAGGATTGGAGTGCCAGATTAGATGATGCTTTGTGGGCATATAGAACTGCATTTAAAACCCCAATAGGCATGTCTCCTTACAGATTGGTTTATGGTAAGATGTGTCACCTACCGGTTGAGATTGAACATAAGTCTCTTTGGGCTGTAAAAGCATGTAACCTTGATTTTGATTCTGCTGGTATGGAAAGATTATTGCAATTGCAGGAACTTGAAGAGTTGAGACTCGAAGCATATGAAAATTCCAGGTTCTATAAGGAGAAGACAAAGATGATTCATGACAAGCAAATCCTAAGGAAGACTTTCAAGGTTGGAGATAAAGTGTTGCTGTATAAAGCACGATTCACATTTAAACCTGGGAAGTTGAGCACTAGATGGGAAGGACCATACTTGGTCACTAAAGTTCACAAATTGGCATGATAGAGCTGCTAGATGAGAAGAGCAGTAAGACTTTCAAGGTCAATGGTCACCTGCTCAAAATCTACAAGGAGAATTTTGATCCACCATAATTTCAGGTTGTCCCCTCCTTACACACTTTAGTCTGTGTTTATTTGATTATTATCATTCTTGAACTCCATTTTGAGCAAGTGTGGGGGAGGGCATAACTAGTAGCAAGTGTAGGTTGTTTTTAGTTTGTTTTGAAGTGTTCTGTGTTTCTTTCCATTCCTTCCTTACCAATTTTTCCTTGCTATCTTTTGTTCAAATTTGCATTGAGGGCAATGCAAGGATCAAGTGTGGGGGAGTGAATGTTGTGTTTTTGTGTGTTCTGTGTCTTTTGTAGAAGAACCTCAGTTTTCAAAAACTTTTTGAAGGTTTAAGCTTGCTTCAGGATTTCTAATGTTACATTTGTGACTGATTTGATTTAGAAATTAATATCTTGAAGTGAAATTTTCTAATGCATAGAGATTAAGCATGATGTGTTCTTTACCTGAGGTGAATGAATATGGAAGACAAGCCTAGTTGGAAGGATTCTTTGAGCCTTTATATTCATTTCTGGTGTGTGCATTCACTTAGTTCTTATACTCTCTAGAACTTGTCTTAGTTCTTAATCAAGACCACATGTAACATTAGTATTCTTGAACATGATTGAGGCATTCATTCAATTTAGCTACTTAGACCAAATGGCCAAACCCCTGCATGATTTATCCCTTGTTACCCATTTGAGCCTTTTTAGCTGAATTTTTCCATTCATTTCACTCTCATTTATAAAACCTCTTTCCTACAAGGATGCATATTTCATTTCATTAATTCCTTTTAGAATTCACTAGCATTTTGATGGATTCAATGATGGATTGATATGAGGAGATGCATACTTGAACTTAAAAGAGAGAAAAAAAAAAAACAAACAAAGAAAGAAGAAACATGCGAATGTAAAAGAAAGAAAGAAAAAAAAAAAAAAAAACAAAAAGAGAAAGAGAATAGAAAAGTTGAAAAGAAATAAAAGGCAAGAAAAGAAAAGAAAGTGGGAATAAAAGCACCTTTATAGCTTTAGACTTCAAGATCAAGAAGTCAAATCCTCAATTGAATATTACTAATGCTATTGAATTCTACACATTGATTCACATATTATCTCTATCCTTCTATGCATTCTTGTGCATTTCTTCCTCACCCTTACATTACAAGCCACAAAAGTCCTCTTGATTCTTGAGTACTTATGTATTAGGTGGTGGAGTGGTAGAGCTATTACAAGCATATGGTAGAGCATTTGAATAAGTGAGTTGAGTGAAAGAACCTTTGATACTTGTTAGTTGAGCGATACACTAATTCCTTGTGTGGTCTTCTATATCTTATTCACTTGGATTAAATTACATATCATTGCTTGGTTTCTTTGCATTAGAATGTTCCATGGATGGATGTTGGTTGAAGAATCATTGTTGGTTGCAGTTGTAACCTGAACTTTTGAACTTGCTTATTCCTTTCTTGCATCCTTCTCTTTCACAATATGTTTAGACTTGAATTGCCCAGGAGTGCAAAAGCTAAGTGTGGGGGAGTTGATAAGTCTCATTATTTACATACATTTCTAGCCCTAAACACATACTTTTGCGATCTATATTTACATACTTTGGGCATAATTAGGTTCCATTGTGTATAAGAGTTGGTGAGAAGAATTATGAGGTTTTGCAAGTGTTTTTACATGTTTTTATATGATTTTATTTGTGTGTACTTTTGATCCCTGCTTTGGCATGAATTCAGGAAGTTTCAGTAGCATTTTCGCCATTCTGTCTGAGGCGCCACGGCTGATTTGGGAAGGCGCCACGGCGGATTTCCAAGGTACTCTCGGTGAAAAGCGCCGCGGCGGATGGACTAAGGCGCCACGGCGGACGGAGGTTTCATGAAGCTCAGGATCATAATCAAAACGACGCCGTACAGGACAGGAGCCGCGGCGGATTGACGGAGGAGCCGCGGCGGATGACCGAAATTTCCAGATTTAAAAGCTGAAGTCGCGCGCTTCAACAAGAGGATCAGATTTCAGTTGCTCACTCTCCCTCCAACGCGATTTTCTTGCTCTCTCCGCCTCTCTCATTTCTCTCTTCCATTTTCGTCCAATTCCATCAATTTCCACCGATCAACCATGGATCTTTCATCAATTCTTGCTGTTTCTACCCTAATCCAGAGTATGAGTAGCTGAATTTCCAAGTTCTTCTAGCAATGAAGCTGACCTGAGTTCATGGAGCTAAACAGGGAGTCATTTCAGATCTATTTCTACTTTCTATTCTAAGAGTCATCTGTTTCAGTTGAACAATTGTGATTAGAATGAAGATTGAGTGATTAGATTTATGTTTCTTGGAATTTAGATCTGATTGAACATTTAGATGTGAGTTGTGTCCTTTAGTTCAGTTGAATAGAGGATTCTCTGTTGATTTGTAAATCTAATTCGTTTTACTTGGACTGTTGTTCTGTAAATCTGAATTTTGGTTGTTGAATGTTGAATATGTTGATTCACAGTTGTGGTCATTCTTAGAGAATTGCAACTTGCTTCTCAAGTGTTCTTGTCAATTGATTTTCCTTCTCATAGATCAAAATAATGAATCTAGTAAGATAGTGTTGTTCTGATCTATGTTAGAGAGATTTGAGCAGTAGCTGAATCTATCCATTTAATTGACACTAAGAGACTCCAAATTATAAGATTGAACAAGGAAGTTGGATAAATTGCTAGGGGAACTACTATCTCTCATCTGAATCTCATTTGCAATTTACCTTTCATTAGATTTGTTTCTTGTTTTGATTTCTCTTTTTCTGAACTAAAGCTCTCATCTTGGTAATTTGATAATTAATAGTGAATTGTTAAGAATTGAAATACAACTTAAGGCTCCTTGTGAAGAATGACCTAGGTAGTGCCTCACTTGCTGCATTTCCCTAGTAAAACTTTGATTACCTAGCGACAAGGTTTATCAACTTGGAATTGCTATTTGTAACCTGGGTTGGATTAGTAATTGTAAGTTTAAGTACTTGGTTACGAATATATATTTTATATATGTTTATGCCTTTGTTAATTCATTATTAGTATTAATTCTATGCAAGTTGTGTGGGGATTATACTTGAAGAGTATATTTAACAAGTGATTATTATTCCAGTTGAGCATTAATCTAAAAAGAATAACTTCTCTAGACAAATCCTAATCACTTGAGTTACTCCCATATCATTAAAGCAATTTAAGATAGCTATTGGTTCATTTTCAAAGAGCATCTCATCATTAATTTTCCTTAAAACAAATTAATATTTTTCTTTCATTGTTTTATTTAAAAAAAAAGCCAAAAAATAGTATTTAAGATTTATTTTCTTACATTGTTTTGAAAGTAGTTTTGTGAAAAAGAATCAACTTAAAACTCTTTCAATATTTTTAGTATTCAGTTTAGCTTAGGTTTTTAAATAAAAAGACTCCGTAAGAGAAAAGCTTCGAATTGTGCATTATATGTGCATTTTTACTTGATTTTATTTTGATTTAATCCTAAGGTGACTAAGAGGTTATAAATCATTACTAAGATAAGGAAAAAAAAAGGCTAAACTTTTTTTTTTTTGCTAAAGTATAGGCATCCTCATATTGGAGGCAATTCTATTTGAGGCAGTCTCAGACACCCAATTGTGGGCACCTCCCAGCAGGGATTCGAACTTTCACCTCGCCATGTTGTGAAAAGCTAATCCCTTCAACAGGACCCAATCCTCACTGGTGTGAAAAAAAAAAGAAGCTAAACTCATTACATTTATCTTAAACTAAGAAAGAGGGCTACAGTGCCCAAATCCTTCCTTCATAAATTTTACAATAACGGATCCTATTTAGGAAGAAAAAGCAATCAACCCAACTTGGTTGGAGCAATTTGGTTGTTGGACCGGGGGGGTGGTCAGTAGAAGAAGAAGCTAGTCCCTCACTTAGTGGCTAATCAAGGTTCGAATTCATACTAGGAGAGAGGTGTCCACATTTAGTGCCTAACAGTATTTCGATTAGGATTGCCTCCAATAGAAGAATACCTATACTTTAACAAAAAAAAAAAAACTTGGTTGTTGGTCCGAGTAAACATTTATGAAAAAAGTAGATAGATAATTATTATGAGAAAAGTAGAAGATTTTTCTTAATTTGATCGCGCAAAATTTGTGAGAGATGTTTAAAACTAGTTAAGCATATCACCTTTTCCCCTAAGAAATTGTTGTAACATTCCAAGACTATACCCGTAGTTAAAGCTATTGATTTTTTGACTAAATTTAATTACATAACTCAAATCTATATCATTATTTTGCAATTAAAATGATGGAGTTTACTACAATATATAATGAGGGCAATGCTTAAAAAAAATGTTGCAATTAAAAAAGTTTGCATAGTCCAAATAGTTGTTCTCACATAATAGCAATATATAATAAGTACAAAATTTATTCAGGGCTTGAGAGTAATAAACAAGATTTTTCAACCTACTTGTTAAACAAAGGGATGATAGAACTTATTGTTTGGATAAAAGTGAGAAAAAGTAGTAGAACTGCAGCAAAAAGTAGAAGCTTTTTTCCAGGGAGTGCTCCAATATTCACGTAAAAGATTGCTTTATACTCGTGACGATGATCATTATAAAACTCATGTAACCCTTCATGTAAAGATGCATAATCACGATTGACACTTGTTTCAAGAACATTCTTGCGTAGATTACTAAGCATGGAAGCCGCTGCATCATTATCAAGATAACTCTCCATAATCCCCTTTTTAGCAAGAATCTCGACGTCTTTCCCTGATTGGATAAGAAAAGGCAAGAGGACTACGTAATCGGTCACGTAGTGCTTAGAAGGATAGTGACATTGCTCAAAAGCAACCACATTGCTCAGCAACTTCTCAGTCATATTACTCACCCTGATTCTTGGTATCGTTAGAACCCCTTCTGAAAATAGAACCTCAGTTAACTTTTACCGTGGTGAGCTTGTAATTCAACTCCTGATTCATGTAGTTGACTCACACTATATGAACGCTTCAATGGTGTACAATATTCAATTCTTGCTGGATGATTACTTGGTAAGCACATTGCCCTTAATACATCACAGAGGTGTTCCACTCGGTCTGGAAAGGAAGACTTGTCAAACATTTCATCAGATGGGGCATAATATAAGGCTCCTGACAAATAGGACGTCAAAACAGCGATGGTAGATCAAGAAATGAATGGTTTATAGTTGAATCCATCGGGAAAAGTTTGGTCGAATATACCTTCAAGAAAAAAAATGGTAATTGATTTTCAACTAAAATCAAGTCTAAAATTATATCACACATTGGCCATAACAACCTACGTACAAGAGGGTCATCAACACCTAGTGGATCGTCTTTAGAAGCAAGAAATAACTCAATAATGAAGCCAGCATCAATCAAAATCATGCTTACGAATTGGCTGCTTTCCATCTCTATGGTCTCTGAATAACAACGTCGGATTCTATCTTCTGACTCTTGCAGGAATAGAACATAATGATCAAATGAATCCTTTTGGGTTCTCTGCAGAAATTTGTGGAGGTACCACAATTTTAATTGTTGCCTTGATTTAGCCTCTCGTTTCTATGGTGAAATGGGCCAATGGAAACAAAGTTTGGTGTGTAGTCTTCTTCACTCCCCTTCCGGAGGCTTGGTGGTACACTGTAGATGCAACATGATGCTGAGAGAGGCTCCGTGGAGCCCATAGTTTTTAACTGGGCTTCCAAGTTTAACAATGAATCGCCCTCTTTCATCTTCATCTTTTGATGGATCTGTAATACATTCAAAGTATCAATCTGATGAATTAACTTATCAATTAGATCCAAGGTAAGAGGCTTAGTTCGACCAAATCATCTTCCTTTGGTTCAAAATAAACAAGTTTAGAAGATTGCAAAGTACATTACACATTGACGTCTTTTTGTTGATAAATCAACTTGACATTTTCTTTCACTCAAGCAAGCTTATAAAGGAAAAGTTTATCCTATTGAACTCAACTTGTAGATTTGATTTACAATTGATTATAGCATTATTTTAAAATGGAAAAGAAAAACAACACAGACATTCCAAAGTTAAAAAACAAGGTTGATTTCAGACATTGCAGGAAATACAAGAGAAGAAACGGGTGAAAGAAGAAAGAGATGACTTACCTTATGCTTTAATTAATTTAGCATGAACCTAAATTTCATTATTTTTGAGTTTTGAATGAGCTAACTTGGAAAACTAACTCAGCGTACATTTCCATTCCAATCTTGTTAGAAGGATTTATACCTTAATTTATCATTACCATGGTATCTGATTGACCAGGCCAAAAACATCATTGCGCCAAAAAAATAAAAAATTTAAAACCTAAATCATATATATTTTCTTCATTCTTAATCATAGGGCCAATTAACTACTTCATGATTTTTAAAGAATGGTGGTTTGTATTCTTAAACCAATTTACCTTCATTAAAATTAATCCAGAATGAAGTACCCTTTTAGAATAATTAAAATATATCATATCAATTTCAGTATTATATATAATGTGCAGATTAAAATGAGTGAAACTTAGGGCTTGTTTGTTTTTGTTCTTTGTTTTCTTGTTCTCAAAACAATTTTATAAAATTGTCATTTAGAACAAGTCTTGAAAACTAAAAACAAAAGAATTTGTTTAGATAATAATTTTAAAAAAATCATGTTTGAAAAAAAAACCCATAAAAAACCACACTTGGTAGTTGATAGTTATTGTTGGTACTATTAAGTGGTAGATAATAGGTAAGAAGAGAATAAGATTTATCAAAAATTTTCAAAACAAAAAATACAAAAACAAAAACAGGAAAACATATAAAAGTTGTTTTAGTTTTTAGTTTTTAAAAACATGTTACTGTTTTTTGTTTTTTAAAACAATCAACTAAAAACAAATTACTAAACAAGTTTTTTTATTTGTTTTGTTTAAAAGCAAAAAATTGTTTCAAAACAGAAAACCAAATAAGTGCTTATATTTTCCATAGATTAAAAACCAGACTCCTTGCTGGGTTGGGGTAAGCATCCGGAACGAGAAGAGTCCAACTAGGCCCTACAGCAATATGCATGATAATCTAAGTCTAGTCACACAACAATTAGTTTATTTTTTCACTCACAAATCGTTACAAATAAAAGTTTATCCATTTGTTGCTATAATTCTGATCCTCTAATCTGATAGTTAGTACAGATTGGAAAGAGGAAAGAAAGCACAAAAATTTCAAAAATAGCTAAACAAGTTTGATTGTACAAATCACATTACATGAAATAATACAAGAAAGGAGATGGCTAACCCATAAGCTTGGATTAATGAAGCTAGGAAACTGAAGTGTAAAGACAATCCTGAAATGTTATCCTCGCTTTCTCCATTATTGAACCTCGAACACCATAATCTACTTTATGCACTAATTAACCTTAATCCCCCCGTAGGGCCCGTCCCCCAAAAAACCCCCCTTTTTAGTGGATACATACACGCAGTAATGGCATGGTGATGCATATAAATCAAAACAAAAGTTTAATCTTTTTTAATGCTTGAGATAAAGCTTATGAACCTGATAGTGAGGACAAAGTTACAGAACGGAATAAGTGGTAACACAAAATTTTAAAACGAGCATAAATTAGAAAAGAGATGACTAACCTGATGGTTTGATTTATGTTGAGGAAAATAAAGAGAATATATCTCAACTTCACTTGTAAACTTGTCCAACCAAGTGCTTACGCCTTGTATATGTAGGAGCCAAGTCAATCTCAAGTCTTCGATGATTAATTATGAGAGTCCTTCTTTATGCAAAATCCACCCAACCTCACATGGGTTTTCTTTGTTCGGTGGTTGCGACTTTTAATTACATGCATTTATTTTATGTCTGCAAGTATATATGTACGTATAAATATTATCATTACTGACTATACAATAAAAAAAGTAGACCCCATCCAACTAACAAGCCATTCCTACTGACTTCGAATTGAAGATGAAGCTACTCTACGTCAATCTTTTACCTTCTTACCTAAATGTGTGTGTGAGTGTTTATAAGTTCTAATAAAAATTTCTTCATATAATTAATACTTGTGGCATCAAATAGAGGGTGAAAATAAAGAAAGAGCTACTTTTACAGACCACATATAGATTTGTGGGAATTTTCAAAATTAGGACTTAGAATTATTAAAGAGAGTATAAACTTTATAACATCTTAGAATATTATATAGCCTCTTTTTTTAATACAATAATTGCCACATTGAAATATATACACACATGGATTAATAAAATTTAATAAATTTCCTAAAAATTTTAGAAAGTATGGTTTACCAATACCTTACAATTTTTTTAGCTAGAAGTTACTCCTCTAGTCATATTTATAAGATAGAGAGACAAAATTATTTTTGGTCTTATAATCCTATTTATAGTCATCACATCATTAATGAGATTTAAGGTTTTTCTCAGGTTGGGTGAAATATATTAGAAGTGACTTATGAATAGAATGAGAAGTAAGTACCTTATTATCGTAACGTCTTAAAACGTTTTTTTTTTGGGTGTGCCAGATATATGTCTTAAAAACATTTCAATGGATGAAATTAACAGTCAAGTAAGTACTTAATATTTTCGTATAAACCTAGGGTAGTATAAACTCTTTTGAAACAAAACCAAATAGCGGCTACTATTATTTTTAAACAGAAAAATTAATCATTTGGTCCTTATAGTTTTAACTTATTTATAATTTAGTTCTCAAACTTTTAATTTGGTGCAACTTAGACTCACTTTGTTGTAACTCGGTCCTTAAGCTTTGACTCGATGTGACTGAATCTTTATAGTTTAATCATTTAAAAATTAGTCTCTATATTTAAAAAAATAAAATTTAAGAAAAATTAATTTTCCTTTATAATTTCATTCAATTTGTAGTTCAATCCTCATAGTTCATATCCTTTTAACTATAAACAATACTTATGTCAAGTTTCTTATATTCATTACCACTATGATCCTCATTTTTTGTGATTTATAGGAGCAGATTTTGGTCATTTTCATTAGTCACTTGTATCATTTTAATGCTTCATTTTCAATTTTGCCCCTATTGATTATAATAAAAAATTAATTAACTCAGATAGTGTTTTCGCAATATCTATCTCTTCAATAAGGACAAAAATGAAAGATTTCATCTATTTAACACTCTATTTGATATGTGAGAAATCTCTACAAGTAACAAATAATAAGGACTAGATTGGTATGCCAAGTTATCTAGTTACATATGACCATATGTTCTATTTTAAAATATTAAACTTGTCCAACCAAGTGCTTTACGCCTTGTATATGTAGGAGCCAAGTCAATCTCAAGTCTTCGATGATTAATTATGAGAGTCCTTCTTTATGCAAAATCCACCCAACCTCACATGGGTTTTTCTTTGTTCGGTGGTTGCGACTTTTAATTACATGCATTTATTTTATGTCTGCAAGTATATATGTACGTATAAATATTATCATTACTGACTATACAATAAAAACAAGTAGACCCCATCCAACTAACAAGCCATTCCTACTGACTTCGAATTGAAGATGAAGCTACTCTACGTCAATCTTTTACCTTCTTACCTAAATGTGTGTGTGTGTGTGTGTGTGTGAGTGTTTATAAGTTCTAATAAAAATTTCTTCATATAATTAATACTTGTGGCATCAAATAGAGGGTGAAAATAAAGAAAGAGCTACTTTTACAGACCACATATAGATTTGTGGGAATTTTCAAAATTAGGACTTAGAATTATTAAAGAGAGTATAAACTTTATAACATCTTAGAATATTATATAGCCTCTTTTTTTAATACAATAATTGCCACATTGAAATATATACACACATGGATTAATAAAATTTAATAAATTTCCTAAAAATTTTAGAAAGTATGGT